AACTAGAGCCGGGACTGGACAGGGCGCAGGGGTGAGTGTACCGTACATCAGCAGGCCCCAGTGACAGAAGTTCTCACTGTAACACAAGGGTAGACACAGAGGAGGCCGAGGGAGAGCCGCAGAGACAGAGACGGACGCCGGCCAGGCTCACCGCAGCGGCACGACCCCAGCTCCTGCTGGACCAGCTCCAGTTTGGTCTGACAGCGGTGGCAGCGCCGGCGGCTCCTCTGCTTGCCCCCCCCGCGGCTGTCATCCGTTGTGGCCTCATCGTCCCGCCGCGCTCGTTTCCCCGGTGACACCTCGCTCTCCGACCCTGAACACAGAAAGAGGCATCTGAAGAGAGCGTTCCCTGGTGACCCCGGGTCAGGTTCAGCCAGAATGACCCCCCGACACACACATACCCCCCTCATCCCGCACTGCCCCTTATCCCCGGGCATTACCTGAGTCACAGGGCCGTTTTGTGGGCGTGGACAGTGTGCCGTGGGCTGTGTCTGTGCAGGAGACCCCTGCAGGAGAGGAAGCGAGGACAAAGCAGCCACAGGGAGGAAGGCAGTGGACCCGGAAGAGAGAGAGGAGACAGGTTACAGCTCACTCTGTCACCCAAAATTGGAGGAGTACAAACACTTACTATAGAGAATACAGGACTGCAGCTGTCCACTGGCAACGAGTGGCCCCTGTCCCCCGCTCCTGTCCCCAGCGTCTAACCACAGTCCGGCCCGCGCCCCGCCCCTGTCCCCTGCCCCTGTCCCCAGCGTCTAACCACAGTCCGGCCCGCGCCCCGCCCCTGTCCCCTGCCTCTAACCACAGTCCGGCCCGCCCCTGTCCCCAGCCTCTAACCACAGTCCGGCCAGCGTTAATCAGGAAGCACTTACTTCACTTTTCTAAAAATCATACCCTGGCCTCTTTCAACTGACATGACTTCAGAACAGTCATTAATCTGGGCCAGATAGAGTGCCCCTCGGTAAAAATAGCTTGGCACGGTTACTGGAGGGGCAGAGGTGCGGACACAGCTGTCCCACAGAGAGCCGCCTGCTGTCCAGACACAGCAGGGCAGACAGCCCGCTTCGCGCACAGCTCTGCAGACGTTTCATGCAGATTCACAATTTCAGTTCTATAAAAAACTGTAAGACTGGTACAATGATCCATACCCGGGCCTCATTCAGGAAACAGCTGAAAAAGATCCTCGGATTAAATAGCTACGAACTACCAGATGGGCCAAATGGCCTCATGGTTGTTGCCGTTCACTGAATTTTGATTAACCTGCCACTGTGACCAAGGCAGACACTCATGTAAATGACACAAATTGTGACCTTTTCCCAGGGTCCAAACATCTGTGTGTAACAGCTGGACACCTGTGTCACTTGCTTTTCCTGTGCCCTCAGCCAGGCCACGCCCCAGGGCTGTGATTGGTGGGACCAGAACTCACCCTCCTGTGTGCTAGAGGGGGCGGAGCTTGTGTCGCTAGGCGACAGCTGGGCAGAGCTGGCAGGCTGTGACGAGAGGGAGGAGTTACTGCTGCTCATCTCACTGCAGAACACTGCTGATTGGCTGCTGCTGGCGCTCGGGGCGGACTCGGGGGCGCAGTCCTCATCTGGCTGCTTCTTCTGGACATCTGAGAGACGGAGAGCAGATGTGAGAATGAGGGGGAGGAGGAGAACAAGGGCCCAAGGAGACAAGGTGTAGGGTGGCTAACCTGGGCACAGTCATGACCGGAGCAGGACAGTGGGCGATGTTCTTAACCCCAGCAGAGAGCCACTGTCCACCTGCAGGCAGACTGCTGGGACAACAGCACTGCCAGAGCCACGAGTGTCCCAAACCTGCTCTGTGCCAACATGTATGTCACAGTTTGTGTGTTTAAACCCACCACTCTGGAGGAGCACAGAACCAACCACTGTGGAGCACTTTAAGACCAAGGCATCCAATCACAAAGCATGCTACCTGTTGCTCCCAGTGCATGCTTAACAGTACATGAACCATCGCTCCAAGAAAACACCTTGCCCAGAGCACACAGTCCGTCGCAAACAGAGCGGGCGCCAGTCAGCCTGCTAGCAGAGTCTGCTGGACCGCCGGCCTCGCTGTCCCTGGGGATGGGCCGGTCAGTCTCCTGGACCGCCGGCCTCGCTGTCCTTGGGGCTGGGCCGGTCAGTCTGCTGGACTACTGGTCTGCTGGAGTACTGCTGGACTACTGCAGGCCGGTCAGTCTACTGGACCGCCGGCCTCGCTGTCCC